ATACTGACTCTCTCTCTCTCTACTACTGGTGGTACTGCTGCTGGTGGGTGTTTTCCTTTTATACCTGGATTTTTTGGTTTTGGAAGGGAAGTATTCCTTCTGAGAGGAACAATTAAGATTTTGGATCCTTGAGGAAATCTTAGGGTGGAGGAAAGTAATAAAGGTAGATTTCCAATAGGAAATCGAACTTAAGGATTAATGTCGGGATAGGCGGGAATTAGGCAAGGTACCTGGTGGTGGTATTTAGTGTAGACGCTATAAAATTTTATTGGTGCGAACGTGATCGTCGCCGGAAACTCAAAGGACAATTTATCTTATCGGAAATCTCGATACGTGAAGGAATGTATGATGAACCCGAAATAATCTTAGCGAGTTTTATGGTTTTATTTTTATTTGTCCGGAGAGTTTGTCCGTTAGATTTTGTTAATGGGAAATTTTCCGTTTTTGAGGAATTTATTAAGGTAACATTTGTAAAGGCTAAATTTCCATTAAGATATATATTTTTTTTCTCGATAAGGTATGTAATAGACAAATTTCCATTAAGATATATATATATTTTTCCTCGATAAGATATGTAACGGACAAATTTTCATTGGAGATCTCTTTGAGTTTTACTGATCGTGAGAAAGTTGCGCAAAGAAGAACCGTGTAGAATGTAAGACGTAACAGCTGTATAAACAATTATTTACCGATTCTGCAAAAAACTATTTAGATCACTTTGCTATTAGGAAAAGTTGTTATGCTAGGCCAGTACAACAACTTTTCCCAACGAGAATAATTGATAAAATCAGTTTTTTAATCGTACTGGATCCAATTTGCTTGTGCATAAAAAAACTTTTCTCCGTTTTCAAAGAGAACCATAGGTCGTAGTCGATTTTTGTTTACGGCACAAACCGGCACAAACATAGCACAATTCGGCACAATTAAGAAAAATATAAAATTCGAAAAGTGCTGGGCTAACTTTACACACGTCTGTTAGTTGGTTAGTTGGTTTACTAAGTATTTTGTAATCCTTTATTTATTCTAAAATTATTCTTCTCGAATTCATAAAGAATATATATCTGTTGGAGAATACTATGTGAACATAGAATACTATGTGAATATTCCAAGAAATTTTCAGGAATTCCAATTATGGTGCATGTAACTTCTTGAATCATTCTTATAGTATTCTTCTATGAATTCCTAAAGAATTACAATTCAAGAAAGAAGAAAACTTGAAGGAACTTTGCGAATTCACTGTGCTATCTGAGATAGGAGCATGGAACAAATTGCATACTCATTTTTCTGGCTAGTGGGTAAAAATAGATTAGTTTTGTGTCTGCCACAGGAGTGCCCATCAGTGTTAAGTGGTTACTGAAAATGGTGCTTTCGGTGAAATAGCGAATTTTCATTATTAAATCATATGCAAAGCACAATTCATGAAAAATTTATATGCTTCAAACTAATCTGTTCTCACCCACTAGCCAGAAAAATGAGTGTGCAATCTGTTCCAAATTCCTACAGCATTCAGATAATAAACATTATGAAAACATAAGATCTGATATCAATTTTGCCAACAATTCCGCCGGATCGCTTTTAAAGTAGTCATCCTGTATATTCACCAAGATCATTGCGAGAACATGAAAAATGAGGTCGCTTAAATTTAACAGATAGATTTGTCTATTAGCATTTTAATGTGTGCATATATAAACTACACATAGAATTTTAATAGTTTACTTTGAAAGACCTAGTTTGCCAATCATTAATAAGCGAGATAGCATCGGTTTTTTCCCTTGCAGAAAGTAGCAGTGTATCACGCTACACATTCAACTACTTCTATCCCAGACAACACACATGCTTTAAAAACATCTAAAAGACATCTGAAAAAATGCCGTCTTTTGAACATCTGTCGGATGTCTTTAAGACATGCGTGTTGTATGGAATCTTTATGATCCTTTCTTTCTCTAAGGTCTACATATACATATACATACAGGGTTTGCCAAAAGTGTAGAAATCCTAAAATATCTTGAAAACGATCCACTATAGCGAAAAATATGTAAGAGGCAAAGTTGTAGAGTTAAATAAAATGTACCTAATGGTGATAAGAATTTGACTTTGGGTGGAGTACGCAAGATTACATGAAGGTCAAGTTGAATTTTTTAATTGGAATTTCCCATTTTTATTGCACATTCTTGTAGCTTATTTCAAGAGCTTTTCAAAATACTATAATAAAGTTATTTTTTATTAAGAACTTTTCGTGTTATGAGACTTAAAGAAGCGCGTTGAGCGCGTTGCCTCATTCTCTTTCTTTTACTCTACCGTAACTTTCAAGCCTCATAACTCGAAAAATTCTTAATAAAAAATAACTTCATTATAGTGTTTTGAAAAGCTCTTGAAATAAGCTACAAGAATATGCAATAAAAATAGGGGGTTCCATTTCTAAAATTCAACTTGACCTTCATGTGGCCTTGCGTACTCCATCCAAAGTCAAATTCTTATCACCATTAGGTACATTTTATTTAGCCCTACAACTTTGCTTCTTACATATTTTTCGCTATAGTTGATCGTTTTCGAAATATTTTAGGGTTTTCATACTTTTGGTAAACCCTGTATACATACATACACAGACATCTTTCATGATGTTATACATAAGCCAAATATTTTCATTGACACTAATGATCTGCGCTACGTCATTTCGTATCCAGGTGCTTATCTATACCATATATCATATAGATGGAGAAATTAACTGACATTTCTGTTTACACGATGTATCACCATGACCTATTGAGAGAGACCTTACATTTCACACGCTTCGATACTAATTGTAAGTTACAATTGACGTGCACATCTTTTATATACAGAAACTTTCCCTTTCAAATTATTACGTGTCAAGTTTTATCAATGACTGAATTTTTTTATTCACGACGCTCACACACACATGCGATATAGAAAGAGATAAAAGATTAAAATTTATAACTATAAAAAGAATTTTTAATTAGGCTCAGTTTTTCAATTAAAACTTTAAAATGATGATACACGCTTATTTATTGAGCCTTAGCTTGTTCTAGGTGCTATTTATTAATATATTTTACATGTGTTTGTCGTATATCTTACATCTAATTGTCGAACGTTTCGGCACCTTTTTTTGGGCCTTCTTCAGCGAATCTAATTTATGTTGCGTCTCTTAGTCAAAATTTAAACTGGTTGTTTTTTGGTGTAGGTCCCTTTGTCCATTTTTACGAACTTTTTGTCCACCCCTTGCTTTTTTCTCGTGTGTCAGACATGGCAACTGTTGATTTTTATTTATTGGTTTTATGTTCTTAGTTTGACTTAATTCTTCTGACTGGCTGGATTGATTTTTATTGTGACTTGTTACTTTTTGTGTTGTTCGTTTCATACTGGACAAAAAATGGACAAAAGAGACCTACACTAAAAAACAACCAGTTTAAATTTTGATTAAGAGACGCAACATGAATTAGATTCGCTGAAGAAGGCCCAAAAAAAGGTGCCGAAACGTTCGACAATTAGATGTAAGATATACGACAAACACATGTAAAATATATTAATAAATAGCACCTAAAACAAGCTAAGGCTCAATAAATAAGCGTGTATCATCATTTTTAATTAAAATTTATGTTTCTTCTTAAAATTTAATTTCTTTTTGAAACTGATTTCTATTTCAATTTTATATCTTATTTGCCGGGAAAAGATTACTATACTTGATTACAACTAATCTATAATTCAAGATATCAGCATTATTTCGTCGCTATCCTCTTATCTCTCTCTTTGTGATAGATATAAATGGGCGTAATTTGTTTCATTGTGACTCGTTAATCTCAAAACATTTAGCATCTAATCGCGATTATCATAATGTCGGGGAGCCGAATGCGACTCTCGTCGCAAATCGGCTCGTACTCTCTAATTCTTCACGATTGTGTCGATTAGTTTTTTTCCATAGATAAGCAATAGTCGTTCACGAGGAATCATCATCGTGACAGACACAAGGCAGTCAACGATGACAACCGAAATGTCAGTCTGTCACAATGTCAAATTTTTGAATACGTTCCCGCATCGGTGTTAATTGCTTGAAAGTCGCGTTAATATTTGCAGTATTCGTCGCAGATTGATATCATGAAGTGTGAAGCACCGGAAGAGCCATGCGCCAGGCACATTTTCCATTTATCTTATGGCGACATTGCCATTAGTGCGGTTAAGTGGAAGAGCTTAGTTTGCGGACCGACAGTAGTATGTACGATCGCTTCGACGGTGAACGTTGTCACTTCAGAATAGTTTTACGATAGTTTTCTCCGACTAGCAATTATTCGGCAATTCGGGCCATTTCTATCTGACGAATCGAATGTCGCTTAGATCGAATCTAACATCGAAACGCTGTAATTTAGAATCGGTCACTCGCAATGGCTGCTAGCAAAAAACGACACGAGTGTTATCGGTATAAGAACTACTTTCCAATCAAATGTTCAGTTGATTCACATTGTCGTGCGTATATGAGGCAGAAATATGAGACACTTGTTATATTTAACTGGAAGTTTAATTAAACGAACTACGTTCATTATGTTTTTTAAAATTCATACGCGTTCTAATTCCGTAAACACAAGTTGTACGGATCATTACGCATTGGAAATTTTTATACTTTTCTGGAAAGATCACGAGTTAAATTTCCATAACTTAAAAATTTCCATTTTATCTCGCATCTCCATCTTTCTTTTTATTGCTTCGTGCAACATTAAAGTACAATAGATATCTTTCAGACTATGTATTACTACAGAAATCCTTGTCATATCGACGTGATTTTTGTGAATCGACTTTGTAATCTTTGCGTTTCTCCTACGCACATCTCAAGAATCTTATTAAGAGGGAAATAAGAACACGCTGGGTAACTAAGAAGCATTTAAGTAAGAATATCAACAGACATAGTGCCGTGAGTTTTGCAAATTTTGCGGCATTTTCGCGCAAAGAGAAGTGTTCACTTTTTCTTTAGTTGCCAAGTTCTCGATGGCACAATGGTGTCTTTGAGCGATATACAACCGTTATTGCATACTGCTAGATTGTTCGGATGTGGATATTACATCGTCAGCGAGGACGATATTGTAACGATGAAACACGGTGCATTTTACTCGGTTTTATCCGCGTTTCTGTACGCGAGTCTCTGCGTGGCAAATTTTTATATGCTCCGAATGGATGATATACTGAGCCCGAGACTACTGATACTTACCGTAGTGAGAACGGGCCTGTCATATGCTTGCGTCTTCAGCGATATCGCCATGACGTTGCGGTACAATTGGAAGATACGAGCCGCGCTCTCGCACTTACGTATTTTTGACCGAGCGACTAAATATAAGGAGCTGAAAAACTCTCACAGAATGCGTTACTTCTGTTGGGCTTTATCCTTCGTTATTTTATTGTTTTGGTCAATAGTCGGGTACATAACATTTTGGTGAGTATTTATTATTTTTATATAAGTTGGTAATATAGATATCGCGAAAGAAAAAAGACGATAATTATAACGGTACGTTATTTTGCAATTGCAGATTTTACAATTTTAATTAGGATATTCTCTTTTAAGAAACAACATGCATGATAACCATCAGAATATGAGGCACTATTATACTTAAAACATATTCTCAAAGTTTTTCTAAAGTCAATAATTTCACTCTTAGCTTGAAATAGTACAGCTTGTTTTTATTTATCGAGACGTCACATTTGCATGTAACTGCATGAGTTGCGAAACTTTGAATCGAGACTATGAAGAATATTAAAAATGTAACAAGATCGTCTTTCATGATTTCTCGTCAAAAGAAAAATTTCCATTTTAAATATCTCTTGTGTGTCAACGATCATAAGATAAACGAATTTTATCACATAAATTTGCATTGTAGAATTTATTTCATTACAAGCGCATTACATACAAAATAATCTAGCGTCTATGATGCATATATGTATATAATGTGCAGTGGAAAAGAAATAAACTCCAATTATTGATTTCGATATTGAATATTAAACAGGATTGTATAAAATCGATCTATCAATATATTCGTGTTCACTGACATAATTAATTTACAAAAGATTGATAGCAAGTAAGAAAATAAGTAAATTGAAATATATAAAAGAAAGTCGAATTAAGTTGGAATCATATCGACATTTTGATATCATATTAATTTACGATAATCAGATAATTTTGTATTTTAATCATTTCTCTAACCGCTCAATGTCATTCACTATTTTGTCTTATCCAGCGTCGAGCCCAAAGATTCTGTGTTCAATGGTGTAACTTATGCCATTGTTAATGCGACGCTGTCGATGCAACTGATGACATTCGTCGGCTTGTCATCCCTTCTATATGGGAGATTTCGCAGTCTTTGTGAAATATTACTGATGCCTGAAGGTAGGTTAATTGTAGAGAATAATGCGTCTCTCGTGTTTTACAGTAATTTGACGCCAATAATTTATCTCGTCAAACTGTAACGCTAGTGCACTCTCAACAAGTTATAAATCACGCATTCTACAAAAATATAAGAGAAAAAAATTCATTTAAAATTAAATTTAAAAAAATTTTTGATTTTACTATCTTTTCTGAAAAATTTGACACAACATGTCCTAACAATAATCTTGCAGTCTTCAATTATTTTACTTTTACTAGCTTTTCTTTGTTTTGTTCGTTTTGCGAGCATTTATTGTCCACCTGTTATCATCGACGTTTAATGTCTGCGTACTAACAGCCGTACTTTCTCACGCGGTTTATTTGATAAAGACAGAATAGCCTCGAGGGTTGAAGTCCCGGCAAATTAATGTATTGATTTGTCAGTCGTTTTAAGAGCAAATAAATAAATTTCTCGGTAAAATAACGAAAGTAAATTTAATTCGATGTTAAAAAAATATTAGGAAAATGTCATATTTATTTAGAATAGTATTATTTAGTAGAAATAATTTTACTAAATTATTTCTACTATAAATAATATCATTCTAAATAAATATGACATTTTCCTAATATTTTTTTAATTTTACTATCTTTTCTGAAAAATTTGACACAACATGTGCTAACAATAATCTTGCAGTCTTCAATTATTTCAAGCAACCAATATATGTAAGTAAAGTATAAATACGAAGTAAAAATACTTATTAAGAAAGGAAACATATACATCAATGATTCAAAAAACTACAAGTTATGTATATGAAAAATATTACTATCATCTAGAAAATTTAATTTACTAAACTTTAAAAAATAAAATAAAATATTATTTTTATACAATTGTTTAAAAAATGTTATGTTAAAAGTAAATTACTTACAAAATAGTGTAAAAAAATTACGTAATATGTAATACTTTAGAAAACATGATTAAAAAGAATTATTTATTCATAAACCCAGTGATCGCATTTGAAAAAGGAATAATGGCTATTAAATTAGAAGTAAATTACAGTCAAATAACATATACAAAAAAAAAAAATATAAAGCTGCGAGATATTTCTTGTTATAATTTTTTTATGCTGAATATAACGCCAGTTTTAAAAATGCTCCATCACAATTTTGAGAAATTTAAGGTCAAAGTTATGAAAAGGATTAATTTGACGTATTTTATCATTATAATTATGATATACGACGTGTAGAAAAGTTTCTTTTTTTTTTAAATAAATTCTTTGAATATACAAGTTTACAAAATGTAAATAAGTAATCACACGCAAAATACTACGCATACATATACGCGCGCACGCTTATACACACACAACACATACACAACTTTAAATTGGAGAGTGGTTTGTAGTCACTACTAAATACCACAAAATTGACAAGTTGTGAGATTCACTTTTTCCATTTAAAACTTCTTTATTTTCATGTACTGAAAGAAATCAAAGTATTCACATTTGTAAGCACATATCATAACCAATATATATATTTTGGTCTATTTCAAATTTGTCAATTTTGACATCAAATTCATATTCAGCAACTTCAAAAATTCTTAAATACGAATTTTCACAAAAATTACAATCGTTTATCATTTTAACATCTATTATGTTGAATTTGTTATTTTGAGTTTGTCAATTTTGACTTATTTGCAGTTCTTAGTGCTATTTATAATCTACCTGTTGTGCAACAAACACAATATTTAATCGTCAAAATTTTGTTAACCATAATGTACATAAAAAATTTCTTTTGAGAGAATTAAAAGTCCTAGTAATGTACTTTATTAAAAAAAAAACTTTTCTAACATATCGCATACCATAGTTATAATATGCTAAAGTACATTAAAATAATCCTTTTTTATAACTTTGACTTTGAATTTCTCGGAATTGTGACGTGATGAAGCATTTTCAAAACCGGCATTGTATTTAGCACATCAAAAAAACTATAAAACAAGATACTTCACATTCTTGTGTTTAAAAAAAGTTATTTTTTGTAGAATTATGTAATTTTCAACACTTAAGGATAATCACATTGCTCATGCGATATTGCGTGTTCAAACAGATGGCAAAATCATGGTGGTGAATCGATCGAGCAGACAGTTTCGCCTGCAAGAGGTGTGGTGGTTGCACTCGTGTCTCGCCAACGCGACCGAGATGATAAACTCTGTGTATGCGCTGCAGCTTCTGCTATGGATTTCCAGTATGTCCTTCAACACCCTGACGCGCATCTACACGATCAATGAGAGCGAAGCGATACCTCTGCTAATGATGAGAGAGGTGTTGCTGGTGTCTGCTTGCGTGACAAACTTACTTATCATCACTATTATCTGCCATGCGACCGCGACTCAGGTAGATCGGTCCACGCGCTCGGAGTAAGAAATCTTCCACGCAACGTGCTTAACTGATATTACTTTTTCCTGCTTAACAGGCTAATCGCGTCGGCAAGATCACCTTCACGCCATCATCGGCTATCCTCACGAAGCGAAATTTTATGCAGGTAAAATAAAAAGTTTTAGCATTCTCTAATCATGCTAATTTATAGTCTATTTTAATTTCTTAGTCAATATCTTCACTAATTAGTATTAATACGCTGAGAAAAATGTTCTATTTGATTCAATAAACCGTCTATTCAATTTTGGACGAAACAGACAGATTCTGATTGAATCTACCAAAATTTCTATTAATGTAACAAGATTCTGCAAGAGAATCCTAATTCCTATTAATGCAACAAAATCTTGTTGAATAGTTTGTAAAATCGAACAGATGGTTTGTTGAATCAAACAGAACATTTTCTCAGTGTATGGAACATTTTCTCAGTGTATGGATTTAATGCAAATTTTTATTAATTAAAATATGGTGCAGTAGCATTTCTTCAGTTAAAGGTTTAATTATAAATTGTACAATTTAAAATAAATAATTACATTGAATCATTAACAATTATCATTTTTATTACAATTTTGATTATTCTGATTAATTAAAAAAAAAGCATCTAATCAACCATAAACTGATTTTTAAACGTAATTAATTGCACAACTTGTAGTAATATTATTGTACCATTTCTGATGTTGTCTTTATCTCATTATCTTGTAATGAAGTTATACTTCCGCTTAAAAGCTAATTGCATCGAGCAAACTTTTTTTCGATCATACGATTTTAATATCTATGAAAAATGACAGAAGGTTTTCTGTCATACTTTGATTAAAATTTTGTAAATTTTATAATTTTTATTATTTATATTAAATTAAATTTTTTATAAATAATTATTAAAATAAGAAAATCTAAAATAATAAAAATCAATAAAACAAAAATTGTATAATACTTTATCGGTTTCAATTCTTTCTAAAATTATATTAATTAATATATAAATAATTAAATGATTATAGGATTGCAGTGTGGAAGCTGTAACGTACTTTCAGTTACATCAAGTGCACTTCTTCGCCTTTTTCGGAATTATACGCATCGATCTTCCGTTGCTTCTTTCGGTAAGTCCCGAGATAAATGTCGCAAATCGATTTTTCTGTTAAAATATCGAAAACATTTGCATATAGTACTGTATAAAGTTAATAATATAAAATATTATAATTATAGTAGAAAATATTGCAACTCTCTAAAAATTATCTCTATTATTTATTCTTGAAAAGAGGAGTTTTGCAGCATTATTTTAAATGAATTGAGAATTAATTATTCAGTTAAGCGTCTTTGCTGCGATATATTGATGCTTTTCATTTATACTAAAATAATTATCTAATGTACAATCGTTATATACATATGGAATACTAGTGCACGGAAATTGCAGACGGTTTGAATTGGATTTTGCGATTGAACGTCAAATAATTTAGACTAAAAAAATTTGAAATTTGATTGAATATTAAAAAAGCCTTCATCTATACCGGTTTAATATTTTGATATTGTGCTCAAATATTATTTATAGTAATGTATGAAATTTTTGAAAAACAATTTATATATTTGAAAAATAATTATTACGTGCTTTGAAGCTTTCATTCATTTTTTGCATAAATAGTTATTTAAAAAATTACACAATTTTTAAAAAGAATTTTTCACATACATAAACTTTATAAAATATAACATTTTATTAATAAAAATTTAATTCTTATACAAATATTTATGAATCTTAAATTACATGTAAAAAATACTTAATGTTTACAAATTAAATATTAATAGTATGAATATTTTACTGAATATTTTAAACATTTTTAAACAATCTATTTTGTATACATTATATAATATTACATAATAAATGCAGAGATAATTAATACCTGACAGGTAAAAAAAAAATAAATAAATGATAAATCAGTTATTTTAAACTTGTTTTATCGAAACTCCTAAGTTTCTTTCTTCTCTCAGCAGTTCTGCTGGTTGCTCCTTTATTTGTAAAAATACAATTAATTATAATCACATAATAATCAAAATATGACAATAGTGCGGATTTTCTGGCATTATGAAAAGAGAGTGATTTGGAAAAGTACGATCGCACGATCTGTTCATTATTCGCGATGCAGAAAGCGCCGGCGACGACGAAGGAAAATCGAAAATTGCGTAGCAAACTTTTCTCGCGTCAGCCGTCGCAGCTATTCTGTTGTATATACATCTGAACTACTTTTGTATGCTTTCTGTGTTTTCCGCATATGTAAGATAGTGTACATTTGAATATTGGCAAGTAAAGGACCTCGCATCAATCTTGTTGGGAGGAAACCACAACCAATATATTTATCTAATAAAATATTATATTCTTTCGGAACACTCTAATAAGAGATCCGAAAGATAAAAACGCTGACAATTCAGTGCATTTCCGGCACGTACGAGTTACTGGAGAATCGTGCAACGTAGACACGGACAAAAGTCCGGTCAAAAAGACATTCAAAATTGCAAATGATTGCAATTTTGGAGAACCCGGGGCTGTTGCTAAGATATCCCCTCTATCTAAATTCTAACAAGTATAAAAACGCCGTCGCGAGACCACGACAGCTGGTCGTAATAAATCTTTGAAAGAGTACAGACGTACGTTACTTTGAATTCCAAAATAAGAATTTACAAGGAAAGTGTCCCCCTCCGATTTTGATGAGCTTTGAATATGTTGTAAAGTAGCTCAAAATAATAGACCTGTTTTTTTGTGCGTGTTTTTTTTCTGCGTTCTCGCATGTTTAGGGGTTGAAACAATCCCTACAAGCTAAAGCGATTTATTTGATTTTGATCAAATATCATTAAAACTGTAAGAAATATAAAAAAATGTTTCCAATAAAAGTTATATGATCTTCTATAGGCTTTATAACCGCGCAGTTGAATTTTAAAAAAATGTTATATTTTTTAATTAACCCCTACCCTTTGTTCTTATTTTCACAAATTTCCAAATTTTTGTAATGACAAAAGTTGTAGCATTTTTTACGCTGAATTCAATTGTATATGACTTTATTATGTTTCGAAATCGCATCTTTCAGAAATAAGCCGTCAATATCGCACTATATGCGTCGCACTGCATGACGTATCGTTTATGCTGCGCTTGTGTTGTGCAATAGTATTTTTTATATAATATATATATACAGAGTGTCCCACCAAAAGTGGCCACCACCTTTTATCTTTTAAATTAAAAGAGATAGACTATAACAAATATATATCAAATTAAATGGTTCAAATTGAACTCTATTGCGAGCATAATATTATAGTTGCTTACAAAAGCTATTTGTGTTAACGAACGGAGAGGTATGCATAATTTTTTATAATAATGTGGATATTTTGATGTAAGAAAAATTGTAGCGCTGTTTGAAAAGAATACAACAATGTATGATTTAATATAAATATTTTACATATTATACGAGTTTTATCGGCTTGAAATATCACGGGCGATGTCTACCTTTTTACTTTCGGCTCTGCGATATGGCAAACTTCAATAATTAATTAATAATTAACAGCGTTACAACTTCAATTGACATATGTCAATTTCTAACGCACGAGTCAGAAGTTAGCTATATCGCAGGGTCGAAAGTGAAAAGGTAGACATCGCCCGATATATATATATATAGCATTTTAGTATGTTTTATTGTATGTTTGCATAAATATAATTTTCAAAAGAATTAGTAGAAGTATATAAAGAAATATTTTTATATTATATATATTAGTATATTATATTTTATTTATATTATATATATTTATATTACATATATTAGTATACATATATATTAATATATTATATTATATATATTATTCATATTATACAGGGTGTCAATTAAGTCCCGGGACGGCTGAATATTTTTTCATGTAAGGTATTTTTGAAAAAGGTCAAGGTCATTTCTGAAGTAATTTTCAACGAGAAATTCAACGGTGACCTTCAATTTGACCTTGAGCTT